TCATTGGTAGGTGCATAACATTGGATGACGTTCATTGTAATGTCCTGTTTCTTTGTTTTGAAGGATGCTTAAATGATCCTTGGTCCATGAGATTCCCATCCTATTAGTGCCTTTTGTGCATGTTTGGACAGCATCAGTGCAACTCCTTGTGCATGTGAAGCATTTTCCTCTTCATGACCAGAGTATAACAGCAGTTCTCCTGAAGCTAGTCTCAGTTGTCCTACTTGTGTCCAATGCGTTTTACTGATTCCAAGCACCTCGAGGTTGTATCTTTTCATTTCTGCCGCAACTTGAAATAGTCTTCCAGTCTCCCACAATGTACGAACGTTCCATGTACCTAAAAAAATGGTTGCTCTGGTTGTCAGAAGAGGCATCGGCCTCGTGACTTCCGAGGGAACTCGGCTTTCATCACGCGACGTCATAATTCTTCTTCCAACTCCCAGGGCAGAGTTAAAATGGTTTGAATTATTTTTTCTGGTCAGCGTTTTTTTGGCAAGTTAGATTTCGACGGAATGGGGTCGCCAACCCCATGTCCAACCCTCCTCCTTTATCCGGGCTTGGGACCGGCAGTAGCCCCGAATGTTCTACTGGCGGAAGTACTGATTGTCTGTCTATTTTTTAATATCACCTCCTGAATTTTGTTTACCCCGAGTCCATTGTTCAAAACATTCTTCGTATTCATTTAGTGTTAGAATGTTTAGGCGTATGGTTGTTTCATTCTTTGATAGATTCATCTCTGCTGGTTCATTTTCATGGGTCTCTGCTTAGGAGAAGCTTTTTATGCAACAAACCTCTAGCCTTATAAACAGGCCGTAATAGTTTTTTCACTCTCTCTAAAGTTGAACGGCTTTATTTGAATAGTGCACGTAAGAATGATCATGTTATTAAGGTTCAATAGCCAATTTATAATATAACATAACTATTACCGTTAAGAGTTGGCTTTTAAAGAAATTATTGGGAGTTATTCGCATGTCATCATTCACAGTCACTTTATTCATACCAAGATATATGTTAAGGAATTTGCTATAGGGTTTTGAGCTAGTGGGATTAATTAGCTTGGGTATATCTACTTACTAACAACGGCAGAGCTGCTGTCGGATTTTTTAATCAAACAAGATACAACCAACCTTATTTGCTTCAAGATAAGAGCTGTAACGTCTTACGCAAATATTCCATATTAACAGATTATACAATCATACGGTACAGATGACAGTGGAACCTTGAATAACATGAAGTATCAGTTAATTTAAAATTTACTCTAGAAAAACCGGACCTTTTTCTTAAAAATCTTGAGGCTTGATACTTTTACATTTATGTATGGAATTAATCTATTATAATGTATTTGGAATATGCTGAAGCTCTTCACTTATGAACGAAATTGTTTAATTTTATTAGTTTTATGCTTTGGAGGTACGATTGGCTGAATAAGATGGGTGAGCGTTTCATGCTCAACAAATTAAGCCTGAAAATTGATTTTTATCAAGTTAACCTTTTTTCATTTAATGCTTTTTGGAAGTCAGAATACAGCTATGCATTTTGAAATCGATTCACCTGCCATTTGTAAGAAGGAGTTACGACAGTATTGTGTAGTAGTGAAATATTTTCAAATGGTACTAAGACGATATTAACAAACGTTTGTAAAACGGTATTACACCGAAGAAGAAAAAATTCATAAATTGTTATTTCTCTGTTTAAATGTCTAGTATACCTAAGCTTCAAATCACTAGTGAACCTATTTATCTGTGTTTTCATAAAATTTTTATTATATCTGATTTATGAACAAATACTGCTAATAATTTAATCTAAATTGAGTTATCCTGACACAAACATTTTTCATCTAGAAAATATAACTTTTCGGTATGACATATATTTCATTAGGTTGGTATGAAAAACCCTTGAATTTGAACTACTTATAAAAGAATAGCATGTTATCTGTAAGGTAAAAACGGTTAGTCACGTGGCGTTACATATTTTAAAAAACCAAAAAAAACAGATCAAACTCAGTCCTAGATAAAAAGCAGAGACCAAGTAAGCATATACATCTCACCGGATTTCGAAATCGTCACTTACCTGGTAAGTTATACCCATTTTGAAACCCGCCTTTCTTCAAATGACGTGAAAATTAGAATTATTAATAGTACCCCGAATTTTCGCGTTCCACTTATTTTTTGCTTTTGAAAATTACGAATAAGTACTTTTTTCATCTTTTTGCAAATGTATTCATTTAAAGTTATTTTAAGAATTATATCAACATGATTCCTAGAATAACTAAAGAATAACCAGTTTCACCTTTATCAGACCATGTAGACACTCCGATTGATCGAGATATTTTATTACCACTATTTCAACTAACATTTATCAATCATTCAATAAGTATTCACTTTATAATCTATGAGTACTTAATTGAAATCTCTTCGGCATTGATGGCGTTTAATATGTAGTTACTGATTAGTGGAAAATAATGCATAAACGACGTCCAATAATTATCTCAAATTTACTTAAATAGGATTTTCAGTAACGAAATGAAACTGTGTTTTCTGATCAATGTGTAGTGTGTGTGCCAACATATTCAGCCCACAGGGCTTGTCCTAACTTCCAAATAAACTAATTCACCTTTTCTGTCAGAATCATTATTCACATGCCTTTTGATTTGTTCAACCATTCGTTTATATCATGATTGTTTTTATTTGCCTGTACGTGTGCCGCTTACTTCGCTTATCTCCTGTCTAGCCTATTTTGTCTGGCTTGAAATACCCAGTCATGCTTCTTTGCAAGGAGTTGGCTCGCTTGTCTTCTCTACTTCACTTCGCTTTATTTGTGTGCCTTTAGTTCTCATGTCTGTTTTCTCGAACGATTACTTAAAATAAATTCATCCAAGCAAATCCGTATTTGACTTCTTATTACCACCGTCGCACAAATAGGGTTCGCCTACGTATGGTATGCTGAAACTGGAAGGAAGATTAATTCTATAGCACGTTTGACTGTTCATAAATATCGGAATCATCACGGGCCACGAAATTAGTCAGCTCTGCATCGAATCCAATGCAGCATATATAAAACAATAGTAATTTATCACATCAATCATAGGTGATGAATGGACTGGGTACTAAAAATATTTTTTATCGGCTTTTTAATTTGAGTCTATTGATTTAAATGGGAAAAATAATAAAATTGTATAATATAATAACAAATGACTTGAAATTTTTTTTAAATGTAAAATTAACTTTTATTTAACATCGTGTAATATTTCAAAATGATTGGTAGCTTTATGATACAGCTTGATGAATCAATAGAACACTATTAATCATTGTAATTTTATGCATAAATATATACTTCTTTTTCACTAACATTAAATGTTGTATTCCTATTTTAAATTTGATAATAATGATAAAATCACTTGATTTTATTATTAATTACACTAATATAGTGAATTGTTGAATTCTGATCAATATACAATAACACAGCTTAAATTTATGTACTTGATTATCAATATTATTTAACTTTTATTAATACATCTAATTATGATTTCAAATGAATTGTGAATTTCTAATGTTCAAACACATATTCCATTAATAAATCATAAATAACAAAATAGTTTTTGATTTTCAACAACAATAACAAGACTACAAAACATAGAATTGATATTCCGATTGAAAAATTCTTTTAATTTGTATTGATTATGAGTGATTTATTATTTAAAGAAAAGTTCCATTTCGATTCTGTTCACAGAATGTTTTATTCATTCACACATATGAGAACGTTAAATGTGTGAAGATAAGTGAAAGTGAATCAAGAAATGTATCGTTATGCGAGTTCATTAAAAGCATGTAATACATTGAACGCATATTTAACAACTTCATTAATATTACTTATTTTCCGTAGAAAAACTCAAGTATGTATAGTTTCTATCATCATTTGAATTATGATTTTATATCATTTAAAAATTTCCAAAAAAAAATCCTTTTCCTTATCATTTACTAGTCAATATTATTTTTAATCATAAATCAGTGTAAATTGAACTTAACATGTATCCATATATTTTAAAAATTGTGTAGTAAATTATTTTTAGAATCTAGAGAAATAAAATTTCAACTAGTTTTTTTTGTTAGACTTTTACTCTGTTCTAGATAAATGCGAATTTGCTACATTTTTTAGAACGATAGATTAAGAAAAATTAGTGTCTACATTCTTGTCAGTTGAAATAGTTGGCTTAGACAAACTCATTTTATAACAAGTTTTACATTTGAATTTTGTTTTGTTCTACATTTCAGTTGAGTCATAAATCTGTAATTATTTAGTTGGAATGTATAGTTACAAGGACTTTAGCTTAATTTTCTTTTTAAATTATTGAATCAGTCTAATTTAAAAAGTTTAATTTTGGTGATAAATCATTTTATTTATCATGCATGGTACATACAACTTTTAATACAACAAGACAAAATTCAATAATCATACAAAGATTAGATTGTATTTTCATGTTATCTAATTCATGTTAGCATTGAGAACATTTTTACAATATTCAATGCCAACTTAATAATTTTCAGCAGTATTCTTTTAGTTAGATATTTCTAAGATATAAATAAGTATCTACAAATTACACATACTTATAATTTTATAATAATGTAAATTCAATTCACGAAACTGACTTGTAAAATGCCTGACATTTTAAAACCAAGCTAAGAGTCAGTATTACATGTTCATTGTTCGTTTTTATTGTCAGGACTGTTGTTGCTGACGGTTAAAGGAAAATCGATCTTAACTGGAAATTAAATTTATCCACTGTTACGTATTTTTCGAATTATCAATTCATAACTTTTACTGAAAAACATAAAATTCCTGAATAAATGTAGTCTATTAAGCTGTAAAAAAGTTTACGTTATTTATTCTAAGACTACAGCTATTTGAATGCTCTTTTCTTTATATCTGAGAAGGCAAAGCGATTATGTATGTGATCGTCAATGTTAATCGTGCAAAACATTTTCTCTCTCCTTTTTCATTAGTTTATTAAAACTGTTTGCAGCAGAAATACGTGAAGTACGTGCAACAGCTGATTATTGGTCAAAGAAAACAACCAGCTTAGAAAAATCTTATCATAATCTGCATGGAAAAGTGAAAGATTATCGACTGAATGCTAAACAGAGTGAAAATGATTTCTTGAAAGCTATGGAAGAACGTGAATACTTTTTACAAAGTGTGAGTTTGCTGTTATTTATTGAGGGTTGTGGAATAGTCTACAATTAAAAAATAAAAATACAATACGCTTTACATAGGAAACAGTCTTAATGTGGGATATACTTTTTAACAGGTTTATTCGTGATGTTATCAAGCTTGACCATATCGTATGAATGCTACTCCATCAAAATTTTCCAAACGGGCAAGATAAAACTCATTCTTTGATTATGTTTGATTTGCATAGTGTCATGCTGGATTAAAAACTTGCGGTTTACTGAGACGATTCAGATGACATCGAGAGTTTTACAAGTATCACGTAAAATCTTAAAATGATTGCCATGCATTAGGCCGTCATAATTTTCAAGTACCTCTGACAATTATTTTCCCTATATTTATATTTACATAGATAATTATTCACTAAATAGATATACAACTATCTAGCTTACTTAAAAGCTGCAAAACCTAAAGTAATTTGTACATTTATTCTTAAATCAAAGATAGTTTTATAACTTAATGAGTCAGCTAAGCAGATTGTTGTATTCAATGTCTTAAGGTAATCATAAAGCAGTCAACTTAGGGCTATGCTTTAGGTATTAATATGTTGTTGATATAATATCTCATCAAATGATAATACTTTCGACATATACTGACATTAACTGCTCAACAAATAATAAGCATATAAAATAAATTGATTATATAGAAAAGTAAACTATAATGTGAATAAACAATATTTATGATCGTTTTAATGGATGAGAATTATTGAAATTTCAATAAAATGATATTTCAAAAATAATTTATGCTATGCAACTGAAGATAAACTTATTTAAGAACATATGACACACTTTCTGAAATCTGATTAACATATATTCTAATGTTGAGGTCACTTATTTTGAATAAATATAATTCGTTTACCTTAAAGAACTATTTATTATCCAATAAAGTACTTTGGGTTTAGTAGTGCGCGACAAAGTTGCCTTCTTCTCAAACCTTGTTGCATGCCATACATGCAATCTTCATTCTAGATTTACATAACTTGAGAAGTAACATGTAAAGCTTTTATTTTATGATTTTGTTTATCAAAAGTAATAACCTTGAATTTGCAAACATCATTACAGACTAAGTGTGAAGCTGTTTTAACTCAGTATGCTTTCAACTAATTTTTATTTTTGCGTTATTCAGTAGGAAACTAAGATATTCTCTTTAGGTAGCATGATAACATTTGTAACAACCATATGACTGTTATCATACATATTACACTGCGAAAAACTTAGTTAAAATTCTTTAAACTTTAAAATGAGGAAGGTTTAGATTCGACTGTATAGAACATGAACAGTTATTGCTGTTAATATATGATTTCAGTTTAACCAGTCTAGGTTCAAAAAAATCACAAATTGTATTGGATACACCACTAGGTTTACATCTTTATTTAGCTGGGACTTCATTAAATTCAAGTACTCTCTATGGACCTAAACACAATAAGAGGTATTTTCAAAATAATCTTTCAGTTGTGTTTGTCTTTTTTTGATTATTTTATGTCTCATCCAAATATCTTTACAGGTTATATGGAGGGTACTATTTGTGAACACCATATTCGAGATTATCTCAGCGATTGAAATGAATTTCAGTAAATCTATCTGGACGAAACGTTGAAATGTTTTAAATCTTAATCTCTGAGATTATTTTAAATGTAATTTCCATTATAACTGTTCTCTATACTTCGAATGTTGACAAACACTCGAATATATGTGCAGGACTGTTGATAGAAACTTTATCATTGCATTATTCTTTGTGTATCTAAACTATCACCTGCCCTAAAATCACACGCTGAATGTTGAAAATAAACCAAAATACAGAGGAGATTTTAACAAAGATTAAAACAAAATTCTCACTATTCCAACGAAACCTAAGGTTGGATTATGAAGACTTAGAATGGTGAAGAATTAAAATCAACGGCTAATTCTCTTAGGTCCTATCTCCTCTCAGAGATAATGGAACTATTTCGGTCAAAGCATACTGATACAAGAAAAAGTTTTCTAGTCATAAGTCTAAGTAACACCTACTTTTATGTTGAACCTATCTTCAACCAAGTTTTCTGTTTCTTCGATCCGAATATACATTCGTTTTGGAAAAATTAATTAAACACAGAAACACGAAAAAAGCTACTAACCAAGAAACTCTACTCAGTCCTTAAAAAGAATCCCAAAAATATATCTCCATATACTTGTTTTCAAGGGATGTCAGAACGATGATTGGTGGTTGTATAGTTGCCAACGTTAGTTTAATAGCACTTGTGATGGATTGCGTTATTGACGAAATCCACAAACATTTCAAGATTGAAATGTGCCAACCTACTTCAATCAATTCGACAGCATGATTACTATCTCCTGAAATAAATGTGTAGCTTTTTTTCCTTCAACTTATATTAAGAAAGACCTTTTGATAGTACCCACCATGTCAGTATATTTTCACTTGCTGATTATTTTAAAAAAGCGAAAATTCTATTTAAATTCTTTTGGTTTATTAAATTTCAGCTTCGAGAATCAGAAATAAGAGAGCATAATTTATCGAATTTGCTTCAACGTGTTGAAGATGAATATAATACTTTGTCAAGAGATATAAGAATTTTAGAACGAGCTCACACTAAAAAAGACCGTCAGTTACAAACTTTACTGCTTGAAAAAAACGAACTTTCTCGGAAAATTATACATTTGGAATCAAGCTTACATAAATTAAAACATCGAGCAGATTATACATATCGGCAAAAGTGAGTATGATTAGTTTTCTTGATTTAAAAAGAATAAGATTTTTATGAAAAGTTATAAACTTAGTTCTTTTATGTATATTCGTGTGAAAAATAATCAATGATTTCATGGTTCTGATCATTCTCTTTATGTCAAAATAATATTCTAAGTTTTCATATTTTAAAAGTAGTTCTTTCTTTAATTACAGCTTTATAATTTATGATGTTTCCTCTGAAAAATACCAGCGACTGTTTTAAACATATATTATTAAGTGTTTAGACGTTCGATCTCAGAAAAAACAGATTTCATGGACCATCAAGCAACAAGAGTTTATATCATTGGAATTTCGAAATGTAAATACATACATTTATATGTGGGATTGTGGAGAGTGTTGAATTTCATTGAAATCATGAACCGATCAATGTCAGACAATCATCAAAAATCTAGAAGCAATTTGTGGCCGTTTCGTCGTAGCATGCTAATCTTCCATAGTATGCATCCATGAACCTAAAAACAGGAATTGATTCCAGGATCTTTTGTTAAGCTTGAGGACGCCTGCACTATAGACCACTGCGTCATCACTAAATGGTATTTTTGTCGAAACTCAATGTATCTACGATATTTCGCGTCCATGATCCATTGTCTTTGACGAGTAATTGACTCAATGAAGCTCAAAAACCTCCACAACTATACACTGAAAGCTATTAACAACTTTCTAGTGAATAACTTCAAGAGGGAATTCTTTCAAATCTAGTGAAAAGCTATGACCAGTAAAGTTCAATTCTGTCGGGTGTGAGTCATTTACCCATCCAATATAATGGATCACAGATGCATTGAGGTTAGACGAAAATATCATTGAGTGATGACGCAGTAGTCTAGAGTGTAGGCGTCCGTAAGCTTAAAGAATGATCGTGGAATTAAATGTTTATATGTTTGTCAGTCCTTAGTGTGAAAAATTACCATACTAGGACAAAAAGAATTTCCCTCAAGTAAACCATAGTATCAAAGAAGGTTTGGTAAGTTCCTCGTGTCCACGCTGTCATATGCTTTCTCGCAGTCAAGGAAGTTGATTAATAACAGTAAGTTCCATTCAATGGACTATTAAACAGTTATCTTTAATGTCGCAACTTTTTCAATTAAGAAAAGATCCTGATGATACCCAGCCGGCTGATCATGAAGTCAGGTGTCTAAAGAATCTTTCACTCGGTTCAAAAACATTCTGTTGAAGACGTTTCCTAGTACTGATAGTAAATTGATGCCTGCGTGGTTTTCCTGTTTGCTGAGATCTCCGTTCTTTGGTATCTTGATCAGGTAGTGTTATTTATAGTCTGCTTAAACTCATTTATCCTCACAAATCCGTCTGAATTGAGTTTTATTTATCGTATCATATCTGACTAAAGGTAGAGCCAAAACATAAGACCAAATGTGCTTTTAATAATATTGTACAAGGAAGGATAGATTGATCTGTAATAGAAATAATAATCTTTTGTTAAATGACGACACTTATTCTGTAATAACTGTTTGTTGACAATTCTTGTGGAGAAACTGAATTTCGACGTTTTTGTGGTATTTTGTTCTCGATCTTCGTAATTTATTTCCGTATTATTATCCTCAATCTGTTGTCAGACATCCATCTCATGTAGATGAACACTTGGGTCGATTTCATACTCAAACTGGTGATGAGTCAGAATATCTGCTAAGCGACTTCGGGTCATTGGATAGAAACCCAAAATCCTACGCAACTGCTGCACCAGTAGAAGAAAGACAAAACAAGAGCAATTTAATCGGTAATAATCAAAATTTAGATGATTCAGATACTTATATACCACAGAAATCAGAAGTATACAAAGTCAGAGGATCAGTGGAAATGTTAGATAGTAAAAAGCAAAGTTATTCATTCAATAAAAACATTCCAATTTCGTTAGTACCCACAAAAATAAGTGAAAATTCTATCAATACACCGGATCAAAAAGATACGCTTGATGATCAAAATATTGATTTGTTGCCAACAACTATTGAGAATGATGAACAAAATCTTCAATCAAATCATTTAATGCAACATCCATCAGTTGAAAAAAGTATGGATGATTTATCTGATACTTTAGTGGATTTACATAATTTAACAAGGCAAGATGATGGGGATGTTGAAATACAACCAAGAGATTCAGCATATAATCATACTAGAAAATGGAGTATTGCATCCGATTATCGATATTCTCCCAATCAACATATTAGGCAAACAAAGAAAGATGCTTTGTCAACTGAAGATGAATCATCAAAGCATAGATCACAAGTGCAAGTTATTATTGGACGATCACCATCGAATGATAAAAAACGCAGAACACTTCATCCCAGTCATACTCATAAAAAGTATTCATATAAAAAAAGTAAGTTTAAAATATGTTATCAGTAATTGCGTTTTCAATAAACACTTTTTCAAATTTAATTACCGTCCATAGCATTTCTTCGAAATACTGAACACTGGTTTTACTCATTAGTAACTTGACAGTTTCGAAATTGTGTTTGTCACACCTATTGTGAGTCATCGTTGTGGGATTCGTAGCTACCCGTAGGGTAAAGGGAAACTATATCAGCTTTTATTGATCTGCTGATGAAGAAAATTTCGATTAATGTACTTTAAATTATTCCTTATCCTTTTTAGTTTATTATTCTTAGCCGGGGAACCTGGTCAAGAATCACATCTTTTACTGTTTTTTTTTGCATTTGAATCTGTAACATCTAATATTTAGAGTAATTTGTTATCTTACTATATTTCCAAAGAGTAGTATGATTATTAGCAAAAAATAATTAGGTTGAATTCATCTTAGAATTCTGATCATAAAGTAGTCCATTACAGGCTGAGGTCAGGTTATTCCTTTCTATGTTGCATTAAACACTTTAATTTTGCAGATGAAACTTCATCACATTCCTTAAAATAAAAATATTCAAACAAGCAGAACACTGAATTTTTGATATACTATTACTGGCTTCTCAGATAAAATTGACGCAAACAATGTCATTGATTGGAATGGTTACGCTTATCATTTTCTGCAATTTAATGAATGATAGAACTTTTAATTATACTTTTATTAACTACATAAAAGTAAGGAAACATTTGAGCGTGATGATAGTAGTTTTGATTTGGTTTATAATTCTTGAAATTGTTTCCTTTAACATAATGCAGTTATATATTTCATTCAATTTCAGTGTATGATCAACCTGTATTACCGTCTGTATTCAGTACGAACAGCCTTCGATTTAATAAACATCGTCCAGCATCAGTCTCTGGTTATTTAGATGAGTTTGGATTAACTAAACCATATGATTTGTACCCTGTGCCATCTTCAGCTAGACCAAGTACTAGTTTTGGACATTTACACAATTCTAAACGTTTTAAGTCTTTAGATAGAGACTATTATAATTCGTGTCAAAATTTAACTACAAAACCTTACTCCACTTTGAAGATGAATCGTCAATTAAATCGACAACCTTTAATGGTTCATTCACTTTCGGATCGTCGTCTAAAAGATATGAATTATTTACGTCACGGTAATCGTATGGATGGCGAATATGAACGGATTTACTTTCCCCAGTCATATTCAACACATCATTTGAAAATTCCAGAAAAGGTATGTGATGTAAGAAATTGCTTCATGAGAAAACTGTTTTAGTCAGATAATTACAAAATTTAAAGAATTATTAGAATAATTTCGAGAAACAACTGCTCACCACTATAATTTTAAAGTGTTTTATGAAATAATTATCTCACTACATTTTTATTTGTTCTTAAAAAAATATCATTCGGTTAGTGAGTTATCTGTATTGTATCCACTTTTAAAACCGCATAAAATGAATATTTCTATGATCTTTTGATGAAACCCATTTCAGTAAAATTATATTTACTAACTGGATCACAATTTTTTCTTGAGTTTAAATCTATTGCTTTTGTAATAAATAGTTAGTATTGAATAAATTTCAAGTGGCCGCCATGAAAGTATATATATGAAAATCAGTGATGTGTTCACAGAAACAGTTCGAATTTATTTATTCATTGTAGAGTAATAATTGTTACATTATATTTTAAAACAAAATAATCTATCCATGAAACAAATAGTTCGGAAAATAAACGTCAAACAATGGTAGAATAAGATATTTAATTAGTGAACAGTTATCTGTTGCAACATTTATTTGCAATAATGATAAAGTATATTCAAATCAATTACTATTATCCCAGTATGACTTGTTTTCAGTTTTAGTTAAAAAAAGGCGTAAATTACTTTATTCTATTCTCAAGGTAAGGATAATATGAATGTTTCAAATAATCTACTGAACCATTTTATATAGTCCATAGATAACTGGTTGTGTATAAGTCTATCGTCCACGAAGTTTAGTTATTTGTTCTGTTTTTAAATGTATGAAGTTTATGCTCAATAAATAAGGTATGTCCTAATCTAGTGGTTGAATGAGGAATCAAGCATAGTGAAGCGTGTGGATCCTGAGTTAGATCCTCTTAAGTAGATCATTGGTGGAGGGTTCCACACTAGGATGCTATATCTTTCCAGTGCTCGGCAGTCTATACTATTCTCTGAATGGTAGTCAACTTTTGACATGCACCCCATACAGTCGCATTCTAGCCGAATGATATTAACCAACTAACAAAATAGTTTGACGAAGAATTATTCACAGCAATCCTATACAATACAGCAATATACAGCAATACTACTTCAACTTGAAAATTATCATACCTTTGTAGCATGTACATTTTAGTTTGTGCGGAAATAGACTGACATTGATTTCTGTTTATTTGTTATTTCCAGTGATGAATTTCAAACAGATAACAAACATTATTCAAAAGTAATCAAAATACTAAAAGTCTTGTTTTCTTATTAAATGAAGTAAATCAATCTAGAACAATGTCCACTGAGTTCATCAACTAAATAATTATTTGCATTTTTAACATTCATATGAATAATTTCACAATAATTTATATTATTTTGAATAAAAATTTATGGATAATTACCACAAACAATAGATGTTTACTTGATATTGTAAAAACATGAGTGAAATTTAAATGACATTGCAAATAGTGATGCAATTATTACTATATATAATCTTACATTTTCTGTTTTATTTGGTAAGATGATATTAGTGAATGGAAGGTAAATAGATATTTTATTGAACATATGATATACAACTAAATGAGTCAAATTATCAAGCAATTATTGTTGATTAAAAAACCTTGACATGAGACATAAAATACTAATCTCTTACATAAACCACTTAATAATTAAATATAAAGTTAATAATTCTCTTGGAACAGACATGTTACATTCGATTTCCTTTAGAACTATTCACTACAAAACGCAAGGAGATTAATCGAAACTTGTTGATTGAATCATCAGCTGAAAATAAACTTTGTAAATAATCTAAAAAATTTATTGAGCAATCTATGTACTTGTTGAAAAATTATTTCCATTATAGATTAGTATCTTATTTAAAACAACTAACCAATGCTGAATATTTAAGTATATTACGTTCGGTTGTTCATATTAGTTTTTCAACTGCGAACTTTAGTCACTCAGTATGGCTTTTTATTGAAGAAACCAAATAATCCCAATAAATTTCACAAAACATCCGGCAGAAAATATGAATTTCAACAAATACAGAAGTATCTACTCTATAATACTGTTCTACTGTTTGGAAATATTCTGTTGTCTCTTAAAATAAGAAATCAATATCATTATTTGAGTTGTTTGAGGTATGATTTAATAGTTGGGATAGTGTTAATTTATTTAGTTAACCATTTATAGTCATCATAGAATTTATAACGTCATTTGTATAGAAAAAAAATAATCGGTGTGATGGATTTTTTGCAAAATATGATCTTAAAAGTACATATCGAATGAAATATTGAGCACTAATAAACAGAAAATGAAATTGTGAAAGTAAATTTGTCAGTCAGAATGCAATTTAATGAAATCATCAATCAAATAATTTAAATGGTAATTTGAAATGTACAATTTTCACTGCATTCTATTAACATTAGATTTATTTTAAAGAAATTTATTTTTTATATTATTCTGTTATTTTGTATCACGAAAAATACAAATATTAACATTCACAATGATGCTGATGATTGATGATGAAATCACTTTTTATTAATTAAACGATCAATTATGTAACAAAAATAAATCTAACAATTGATTTGTGTTGTTGATATAAATGTGAAAGGATGATTTGGACTCCTTCAGATCATGCGAGAATTTCAAAAACTCTTATAAAAAGAGGTAAAATATAGTGAAGCGCTAGATTTAAAGTCATTACAAATATATTCATTAGCATTTTAGTACTTGTAGTTGTGGCAGTAGTAGTAGTCGCAGTAGTATTAGTTTTCCAGCATTAACTCAATAATCTCTGATTCCCTTTTTTGTGATTCCAGTTTAGTAGAAACATTTCCAATCAAAATATAATGTTTTGTTTGATAATCTTTCGGTAATGTCTATGCGTTGAACACTTTTTTTGAATAAAGGCCAGACGCTGCCTTCAATTTTATTTTACTTACAACGTTCTTGTATTTTTTTGAAATATTTCGCGTTTGTTATTGTATTTTCAAAAGGTCAGCGTCAAGTTTTTACATATCGGATTATTGAAAAAAATATTTCAGGCACGTATAAAAAATAAGCAAAGCACAAACTCATTTAAGTTATCCTAAGGTCATTGTAAATAATTTGCGATAAGCGAAATGAAGTAACAGTTTGCAGTGACTACTAATATCTTTTTTTATTCATATGCATAGGTTTGTACTTCATACAAACTATGTCTAAATAATCAACAACATGCTAGCATTACTTCATCTCTTACGCTGTTTAGCTACATTGTCTTGCTGCGATTCATCTTTTGTCTCAACCACAATCATCATACTTGTGTTAAAGAATCAGTCTTCCACTTAGAACAAACGTATAATTTATAAAAATTCAATATTATTTGCTTTATAACTAATTAAATCAAATATCTGTTGCGAGTCAATTCATGATAAGAAAATTTATACAAATTTTGATTTGAGTGTTACGGTATTATATGAATAATTTGATACTAAATTAAAACATTTTAGCAAAATAGAACCACTTCTAATCTTTAAATTTATTTAGTTCAAAGATCAAAAACTTTAAATGTTTTGAGTGTGATAGGTTAAAGTACTTCACTGACTTTTTTCACTGAATCATCAACTCAATTAATTTTTCATATATAATGAATATCTGTTTCTTCTAATCAAATATTCTCATCAAGTTTAAAGTGTTGTTTTTTCAACATGTATTTTCGTATCGATATACTGCAGCTAATTATTAACTATCGATTCGGAAGATACTCTGTTATACAGGTCTTCTGTTCTTTATCTATTATCAGTAAGGATTTGCAGTAATTATATAAATATATTGAATTGTAACTTTCAGACTGAATATTCAATTCCACATATATTTACTGTTAACTATGTACCGAGACTGACAATTTATATGTCCTACACAATAGTTAAGAGCAAGAAAAATTTTAAATTGCTCAAGTTAAATTAACATTAAGATTTCTAAGGTAAAGGATTTCACTAAAAAATCGAAAATCTATTCATTTTTTTAACGATGACGACCGAATAGTTTAAAAACAGTAAAAATATAACATAGTTTAAGAACTTAATTTGTTAAGATCTAAGCGATTTACATAAAATAACAACTAAAGTCTCTTAACTTCAAATGATCCTATTGAAAGGAAGCCCTTTTAATAATGTAAATTTAAAATTTAGTATACTTCGCCAGTTATAAATACTAACGATGACTTCATAAACTCCAGTGACTAGAACTATATGAAAATATCAAATTTGAGTGTCACTAGAAAGTGACAATGAATCTATCGATGATTATCAATAGTCAGTAACATTAAGAATCTGTTATTACAAATATACCGAAATATAAAATATTTAATGATTTGTGTGACTGGTAAAACAAAATGATATCACAAGAAATTGTTTTAAAGACGAGTTAAATTATTCTCATAAGTATTTATGCAACCCAAAAGTAATTATAGTTCTACGTATCAATAATGAAATTGTTTATTTAACTGTTCCATTATACATATTCATTTAACTTTGTTTTATTGCAGAAGAACTGCTCATTATTTCCTTTAATATTAAGTAATTTTTTACAGCATGATGTATGAATAAAATATCCTAATTAATCCTAAGACATTAAGCCATTATATAATGAAAACCAGTGCTGGTGTTACTGATTGGATTTCACTAGCTTAGTTTTAATTACTTCATGACTATAGCATAGTTTTATGGATTCCTACAGTCAGTCAGACTAGCCCACAGCTGAAACGAATTTCTCAACTTAACCAATAGACTGGGGATATTATTAAAAATATTCACATGCTTTAGAAGATATATTAATGAGGTGATCTATCATAAAATTATGTATTCGATAATACATAGGTTGAAAAAGTATTTCAGCTAAACAGATAGTAAGATTAAAACTCTTCATGATTGGAACAATGTACGTAGCGGATAAAATGACTACTAACCAAACTATTTCTATAATTTTTTTCTATCATCTGATTATAATTCATATAGAATATAAAAAAAAATTCAATAAAATAAATTTTTAATCAGGTTCCCAAATTCAAACAACAATTTAAAGTCTGGCGCTACGGAAATTTATTATAGGTAAGAAACATAAGTATGCACATCTTTCGTTTCCCAAATGTTTGGTCATATTCTCTTTTTCATAATTAACTGCTGTGTCTAGCAGTTGCATTCACACAAATAAAATATACTCTTATCCATTATAGTCAAGCTAAATGAATATGTATATATGAATCTATACATTCAGTGTGTGAAGTTTTAACACTTCTTTGTTGGTGATTAACAAGTTTCGCCGAAAATATTACAACAGCTTTAATTTTTTTTGTCACTCAGTGTATTTATTCACTGTGAATAGTAAATATTTAAGTTGATCGAATCTTGTAGTTGGCTTCATAATACACTAGAACAGTGTTAAATAAGATTGTTATTTGTAAAATATTTCAGTTCATGCACAACGTACTTGATTATTTTAGTCAACTACAATAATACATTTTTGTTTAAATTTTAGTTATTTGAATGTATTTCACTCTATATTACCATCTTGGTGAATTAATTAACCTTTATCTATTTTTTCCAAAAAAAATAACTATTCAAGTTGTTTGTATGTTTTTTTCTTACAATCATTTTTTCCCTTTACCTTAGGCATGTCTGGAAAGCAGTCTAGATCATATCAATCTGGAGGTGGATCGTTTACGTGATTGTATTAAACAATTAAATCCATAAATAAACAAAATGATAATTTAAGAATGAAAAATGTTTTCTTATCATTTGAAAAAAACATCAATGAACAGCTTTCTTTTCTTTTTATACGTTTTCATAGCATAAATATATTTTAGCTCACTTAATTGAACAGAGTGATATTTGTTAGAATTAAACTATGCTTATTTCGTACATTAGTTGGTCGAATCGATGAGGACAAATTTCAAATAGTGGATTGAATGATATTTTCACAAGAAAATAACTACACATATCATTTGGACAAAAAAAAGTACTTTCATTATTTTGCAATCCGCAATTTACTTTTGTTTATAACTAATAAATGCTACTTTTTTTTCGAAATCATCATTTCATTTTACTTAAATCGCTAACTGAGCATTATTAATATTATTATTATTTTGTCTATCTCAACACTGCTTCCCATTTAAAATAAACAATGATGACTAAAAGTGTTTTGTAAAGTGTATTTTTTTTCCGATAATTCTGTCTTCGAACTCACTTATAAACGCTGGAAATTGCCCGGCAATTAGCGAATGTGCTATGAGTATTTTAGTGATTTAGTTTAAGTCTTATGTGGTTTTTCAAGCATACAGAATATAAATGGAAGCATATAGGATCTCTTGTGTATGAATGGTTTGATTTGAAATACTCCTAAATGCAGTTTTTAGCACGGCACAATCATACCAGGTAACCAATGAATGATGATAGAGTGATTTAAAACTCATCAGTTCCACACATTCATGCGGGACGAGATTCAGAACTTTCAATTGAGAACGATACTTATTGATCACCTAGTTAAAAGCTTAAGTCTTTCATCTTCATTTAAAAATGATCTGTAAACATTTATAATAAAAAGAATTTTGTCAAAATATACTTAATTCAATCGTTCAGGTCAAATCGTATGAGTATACGCTAATAAATCCATCATTTTCGAATCGGTTTTATTGGAAACAAGTGTATGTGTTTCAGTAGGATCAACGTAAAACCTACCAATATTTAGTTACTAAAACTGATGAGTCCCATACTAGGACGAAACAGCCGTTTAGTGCTTCCAGCTTTATAATGGTGGTCTAACAACGATTCATTAATAGTTTCAATGTAAAATTTAAATCTTAAGGGAAAACTTTTGATCGGCAATGAAACGCAATTTGAGAAAGTGATCGGATTCTCGTTAGAAAAACAATAAAAAAGAAACAGGAGTTATATGCATATAAATCATCGACGTGATTTCAGAATTTCTGAAAAGTAAACAAGTATGACCGTAATTTTAGATCGGATAACTCTATTTGTGAGTATTTATCATTATGGACAAAAAATCACCCTACAACCCTGAAACTAATTCCTATCTCCCAACCGAAACTCCTTAATTCGCCTTATATTCAGTTTGCTGCAATAAATAACTTACTAATCATAATAAACCTTTCCGATTACCATATATGGTTATGACAACTTACTTACTTACGCTTGTCACCCTCAATGGAGCATAGGTCCCCGACAGGTGTTCTTCAGCATACATTGTCCACGGCTTCCCTTTCCAATTCTGTCCAGCTTTTGTTCATGCTTTTCATACCTATCTCTGTTTCTCGGCGTAATGTGTTCCTTGACCTTCCTCCTTTCCTTTTATCTTGAGGGTTCCTAGTGAGGAATTGTCTTGTGACGCAGTTAGGTGCTTTTCGTAGTGTGTGTCCTATCCACTTCCACCGCTTCTTCCTGATTTCCTCCCCCACTGGAATCTGGTTTGTTCTCTCCCACAGTAAGTTGTTGCTGATGGTGTCTGGCCAACGAATCCGGAGTCATTTGTGAAGACAACTATTAATGAATACTTGAATCTTCTGGATGTTGCCTTTCATAGTTCTCCAAGTTTCCGCTCCATACAGTAGAACTGTCTTGACATTTGTATTGAAAATCCTGATTTTGATTTTGGTTGAAAGTTGTTTGGAGTTCCAGATATTTTTCAACTGTAGAAATGCAGCCCTTGCTTCGCCGATCCGCGCCTTTATATCTGCATCGGGTCGAATTGCCGATGATGCTGCCTAGATATGTAAAGGTTTTAAAGTTCTCCGAGGCATCTCCATAAAGTGTGATTTGGTTGACGCACGTCTCTTACTTTTCCCTTTGTGTATGTTGATACGTGCAGCTGCTGAGTTGTTGGGTGTGAGATAGAAGAGCTACTTCATCTGCGAAATCCAGATCGTCAAGCTGCATCCTGGCTGTCCATTGTTTAGTGTGCTTCCCTCCAGATATTGACATACCACTCTATAATTAAGGGCTGCTTCCTAATTTGGTGAAATTGTTGTTTTAGGTCGTAAGTACAGCTTACTGCTATCCGATAATCACATGCTGAAATAACAAATAAAATAATTTAATGAAACCTAAGATAAACGATTTTCAGTCAAATAATACAATACAATTAAAGCAAAGGCTGTGCCAAGTAATTAAATATCTGTTTAAATCATTGCAATTCGTCAATGTGGCTGGTTCATCTGCACATTCCTGTAACAGCTAATCAAATATATATGTATTTTCTAACTGTATTCAGATACTTTATTTTGAGTCAGAAATTTCAAAACAAAGAACATGTATGTCTTGAGCATGGTATTATAAAATTTGCCTAATCCGTTTCTTCGGCTTGTTATAAATTGAACCAACAAAATTCTAACAATATTTTTAAAACGGACTTTTTAGTGAAAATCGTTGTTTGAATAAGGTCAGGACAAAATGAAACAAAGATAAAAAAATTCATTTTCAAATTATTGATTTTTATCACGCGAGTAGTAAAAAATTATGCCAACAACAAGCATTGATTCATTCGATTTTTACTGGATATCATGTCGATATTAATACATGTTATGGTTACTTGATTCATTCTTCCAATAAAAGATCGTCTATACTTATATACTGGATGAGACTATGATTCACGGAGAACCTTTGATAGATGTTAAAGTAACCGTGAGGAAATTCGTCTACCTACCGGGATCAAAAGACGCTCATAAATAAGTGCGAGTAATTGAGATTAGGATTCAGAGTTGATCATTATGGTTCAGAGTTACAAGTTGGTTTTGATTACAAATCGATATCATCTTTAGTCCGAAAATGCTACTTAACCACCTGAGTCGATGAAATTTGCTCCAAATTTTAAGAATCGCAATCCAAAATCTCATTGGTTCGTCCGTAGATTATAAACTCGCCAAATCTTGAACTGATATGATGCCAAAAAATGAAACCCGATAGCCAGGGTAAAAATGGGAATGAATGATCGATCAGCCAATTTACTCCAATCGTCTTTGAGATTTTATGAGGTTTGTTATATGCTCATATCCTGTTCATTAGTGTGTGATTTGAATGCCTGGATAGCTAATCATTCTACTATTCATCTTGCCTTTTATTTCACAAATCATTTAAGGACTTAGGTCAATAATATGGTCACGTAACTGTAGCCGTCTATAGAACACATTCATCTGTTAATGAGCATTTTATTCATTTGTTTTAACAATCAAAATGTTCATTTAGTCAAATTGCAGTAAACCTGGTTTACTTACAACGCTTTTTAAATTCTTATTTGCTGAGAAACAGTATCGGTTATAATTGTAATGGCAGGTTATAAAGACTTCCATTGAAACACGTTTAGGCTCAAGTGTAGGTGATGAAAATTTGTCAAATTCATTACTTTTGACATTCTTTTTTAGCTCCTATTGTAGTGGAAAGAACACAAGTGGGGCAACCGAATCGGAAAACCATATCGTAAATCGTTCATTTGCAAAATAACAGTTCATCATATCTAACTGAACTGTTCCTGTTACAAAACATCAATCCATTGTCACTATTCATGCGTTTCATACAAATTCGATTGTTTTCTAACTCTTCCTTTCTTGATCTTCCCCCATCTTCGGCTGCCAGACATTACGTTGACGCTCACGTCATATACTACTTATAAGTAGCTCGCACCACAGCACCACACTATGATGTAGGTTTTCATAAACGATCAGATTCTTCTTTCAGTTTATGGCTTCTACACTTTTATGTACGTTTAGGTTATCAACTTAAAAGATATTTCTATTTCATCAGTATGTTTACCTGAACAAGCAGACTAGCCATTTTGTAAAGATTATTAAATGTCAATGGGATCATGGAATGGAACATCTACCTATAATCAGGGAGCATTTTAAACCTTTTTTGCACTAATATGTGATTTCTTATTGATTCAGCTCTATTCGTCTACCTGCAAATAAACTCAAGTATTTCGGCCTTATCATGACTGCCTAACCGTAAACCACTGAGTATGCACCCAGCCGCATTCATATCTAAATTCAATCAACTAGGAATATTTCACAAACGTGTCGCATTGTCTTCAAGGAGTAAATCACTCACACTTGACACATTCGAATTCCACTTGGGTAGACTAACTTTTCAGTGTTTCCATCCTTCAGTGGACTTGTAAATTTAGATACTTTCTTAGAATACTACTTTTATTGCTAAAATATGTCGTGTAAATTTTTTATAGGTGGTAGATTATTTTCATCATACATTTCTCAAATAAGCTGTACATTCTGTACTATGAAATTCTCATCATTAAATACACCTAATACCGATTTCCAAAACTTATTCATGTGGTTCATAGAGATCGTTGGAATCAAAATATATCTTGTTTCCCAAACTGTTGAAAATTAGGAACCTTCGAGTAATGACATCATCTTGGTATATCTTTGCTTAGTCATGACGACTATATTTAAGGTCACTCGTTCTGTCAATAAGTTTGTGACGTATCAGTTTAATTCAAACCCACCTAAATCCTTAACTATATAACACTTAAAATTAGCAGTTTCTACTAAACCTCATCAAAGTACGTTTTTGTTCCCAGTGCATTTCCTAGCTAATACTAAACACCTAGTAAGCGAAGACTATACAACATGCATCATAAGTGACTGTTTATATGACTGAACAAGATTGCAATCATTTTGTCAAATGTTTTTATCTGGATAGACTGCACAAAGTAGGCAAGTTAGTAAAGGAATTTTAGTAAAAAAAAATTATGTAGATTGTTTGAACTGAGGACAGTTTTTTTCAATTAGTTAATCACAATTCAATATGCTTCAACTTTCTTCTATCTAAACTTTCAAAATAATTCTAGTAAAATTATATGATTTTTGTATTATATAGAGCATAAAGGTCAGTAGATTTGATTTAGCAGCATAGTTAACATAAAATGAACTGATACTTTAAGAAAATTGAGTAACTTATTTGATATTTTTCTGTAATATTAAGACATCATTTGCAGAGAGGAAGAGTAAATTACAATTTATGGTCTCTTTATAAAAATCATACTAACCTTATTCATAAAATCTATCTTCTCATAATCAATTTTCGTTAATTATCGGAAGTAATCAAGATTGAAATTATGGATTAATACAATATACAAATAGTATAACATAGAGTTTAATTGCATGTCGACATTATCTGTTAAATATTCATTTTCAATGACGTTTGTTCAATATGGGATTATAATTATTTAAATTTATTGATTATCCACTTTAAAAGAAATCTGAATATTAAAATGCCTTATTTCTTCTTGAACTGTAAACGTTTTGCTGATAGAGATTAGACTTCGTTTTGTGATATACTATAGAGAAAAAGGTTACCTAAAACAATAATATAACTTCTTAAGTAAAAATGAATGAAGTGGAGAATCAAACAATATTGGTAGCCCAATGAGAGCTAATGTTATGACTTCTTGAAGCCAAACTTTTGTGAATAAGAACATAAAACCCTTTATTCCACATAATTTTAGATTGCTCAAATGAATGCATCGTTGTCCAAATTAACAGTTCACTCATTTGGTTCGGCACACATATACAGAAAGAATTAATTAACTTATAAAAAATGATTGAATATAAGTCAAAGTTTTTTCTGCTTTATTCTAGATAGCAGTACAGTTACTGTGTTTGGAAAACATTTGTACTCTTTACAGCCTAACTATCCAATCCAAACAGGTCATAACAATAAATTTTAGGTATAATTTGAAGTCGTTATTTTGAAAATGTAGGACCTAGATTCTTAGATTGTTAAATTCAGGAGTCATTAAAATATTAGGTATATGTTCAGAAATTATTTGTAATTCTGCATTCAACATTTGTATTTATATTTCTAAGACTTAATGGAAATGTTCTTGCTTGATATGGTATCATTAGCTTGTTCACCTAATATTCTGTGAGAAAGAAATTAAAGTAGTACTACTGTAATCCCGGACAATATCATATAATTTTCCGATGCTAATTTAACCAAGATGTCTATCAGTGCAACACATTAGAGATAAATGCTAACCAAGCAGTTCAGACAGTACTAAATTTATACAGACATTACAAGATAAAGATCAATGCATTCTGTATAACCAAAATTACTTTCACACACTAATAATGCATCAGGTAGCAGTATTCATATTAAACTGATTTTCAAGTAGCACATTTGATACAGTATATAATATAGGGAAAATAAACCAACTTAACTGTAATTTAAACTTCATAGTTTCATCCTGGATTATGTCTGACTGTAGTCACTTCGCGGTATTACATAAATATCCTACACTTTCGTTGGTGGGTAACTACCTCATGGTAAACATAAGAGTTATTCGAATCTTAATGTTCATGGTTTTCACTATACAGCCGACAGGATAGAGAAGTTTCATTGAAATGCGCTCATACCTGACTAGGTTCGTGAAGAAAATTTCTGAGTTCTGGTGAGAAGCCGTAATCAGTGGAATTCAACCCTTTCGGGAGTAGGCAGTTATCTACCAAAGACAATGGGCGAGGTTGCGCGATTCATTGGATTGATTATGGTTAGACACTACCATCATTGGATTCCTGCTCATTGGTTCAGAGTTTAAGCGTTCGTACGTGCGGTCAAAGGTCCTGAGTCATGGATGCGTATTGTCGTTGAGTTCTATGCAAAGATGAAACAGCCGTCTAGTGCCTTCAGGTTTCTAATAATGGTCTAACAATGATCAGTACATAGTTTCAGTAAAATGTATGCATGTAATGACTCGATGCAACCAGTTTTATTCGTTTGATATCTTAATTTATTCCCTTGCTGCCTTTCCGAAAGAAGAACTATTTTCATAAACTGCTTTGATTAAAAGAGAAGCTAAAAATTCCTGAATAAAAAACGTCGTTTATCTTACGGTCGAAACTTTTTAAATTTGTCCTCCGATTGCCTTCAGATACATTTAACGGATCCAAAAGTTTTATATTAACTCACTTTATGTTATGGAATATGTTGCAAGAAAAACAAGTTCATTCAACAATACATTTTGTGGTTTACTGAAGTCATATAATGTTTTAAAACCACAAATCATTGAATAAATATTCGTGTGGGCGAATTCCCATTGAATTTATAAGAATTGTGATTAGTTTTCAGGTTTTCTGCTTTTTTTACATTTTATATATCTTAGCAAGTATTTCTTTAAATGATACAGTTTCATTTACATTTATAACAGAAAACTAATGAAATATAAGGAATTACAAATATTCGAAGAAAAATAAAATTTGAAAGTTTCTTTTTTTCAATAGTTATTTGAAATAAAATAGTTGAAAATATACACATATATTTTAAAATTTACAATAAAATAACGCATAAAAACAACAATTCCAAACTTGTTCAATAATAAAGATAAAATTTTTTAAAAGATTTATTCATAATAAAATGATCTGAACAGTATATCTTAAAAAAAGCATGTAAAAGTATAAAGAAAAGTTTCACAGTAACGGGAAAAGAATATATCATCTTATATCACAGACATTTATATCCCAAATATTGTCACTACAAAAGTCATAATTTACGTGATGAAGCTAATTTTCATATAATACATACCAATAACTCACACAATGTCCAAATGATAAAATTTTTCAAAAGTTAACAAAAAATATTAATATTTATTTGTATACGTATAAGTTTTATAAAAGTCCATCTAGTTTAAGATTACGTCTTATGATAACATCGGTTACAGCATCGAAAACAAATTGTATATTAGTAGTATCTGTAGCACATGTAAAATGTGTATAAATTTCTTTTGTTGTCTGTCTATTAAGTGCTTCAAATTTTGTCTGAATATATAATCCAGCTTCTTGATAATTATTTTCACCTAAAATAAATAACATAATCAATGATAGAAGTGATAATTTAATTATTCAAATAATTATTCAATAACTTTAATAATCTTTTATATAATTTATTACAAATTAGGAAAATAATCATAACTTCATAGTTATTGATTTATTGTTATGGTATAATTTACTTAACTTATATATTACGAACTAAAATAATTTTAATATTCTGGAGATCCAGTAAGACGATAATTCTCGCTGCTATGCTTGTTCAGCTGGTTAAACTATGAAGAAAAGACAGATGAAGTTAACGGAAAAGATGTGTTATACATTTTATTTAACGAATAATTCACTATGTTAAGTATGTTTATGATATAAATTAGGATTAATACAGTAGAATAAATTGTTTATGAAGTAGGTACACATAATATCTCATTGAAATTAATAAAACTGATTGACTTTAGGAATGAAGATTGTTTGCTCTTAAATAAAATTTTGTACTTAAAAAAAAACAAGAAATCTAACATGAAATACAAAGTAAATCTGATTACGATTGATTTCTTCAGTAGATATCAAATAATAAAGCATTCAGTTAATTGATATAACTCTGTAATAGAGAAGGAATGTTATTTTAATATTGACATAGTTTTAGTAAAACTTAACATTTCATTTTAATTTCTAGTAGTACTAAACAAAATTTATTGAATAATACAAGCTTGTTATTTTGATATTATCATAACAAAATATAGTCTTCATTAACTGTTTACTGTTTGCTCTGTTGTATAAGTTTAAGCTTAAAGAGATTTATTAAACGAATTGGTAGTTCTGAAATACTATCTCATACTGTTTATTATTATTTCGTACAGATTCTTACAATGAGCATTGAATTTACATTTAAAATGAACTACTATTAAAATTTATCATATACTTTGATCGACAATATAAATTATCTAAATATTATTGAACTTTGTTATTTAATAAATAGCAAAAAATAATGAGTATTTTATCTTTTGTTCTCTACTATATTGTTTAAAAAAATAAAGTTGAAGTATATAGAAAATTGATTTGTGTACAACGTATATCAAGCCTGTCAATAGTCACAGAAATAGATTGTACACAGACTGAGAATGACCCGATATAAATGGTTTAATAGAGTTAGCTTTTCTAACATTCTTATCATTATCAACTATGCTCATTTTAATTAGATTTTATCATTTCAATTACTATTAATAAAACCATAGATATAATAGAAAATCATTAGAATAATCACAATGTTTTATCCTTTATTAAAGTTTTTAAAATTATTTATTTAACAACATTTGAAGAAATAAGTTCATCTTAAACAAGTAGCTATTAATTGTTTACTTAAGATTACATTGTGGTTATGCATAAAATTTTACTTAGTTTTAAAAATAACCAAACTGAATAAATCTAATTTCTTATCAGTTTTAATGATTATGAAGTAAGGATTATACCAAGAATATTCGAAAAACTCATGTACATAAGTAAGCTAGGATAAATGTACTTTAAAATATTTACTGTAAAATCAAATACCACTCTTCTTAAAATTTATAAGTTCTCAGCTGTATAGGCGTTTCTGTGATGTTCATTTTAACTATTCAAATTAGTTAGTAATTCATTTAATCTTAAGTCATGGTTTATTAAATCCAGATAAAGAAGCGGTGTTTCATAAGTTTTAATTTCCCCTTTTAGAAATTCAAATGCTTTGAACTTGAGTAAAACGTTATTGTCACATCAAATCCATCAGAGAGGAATTCATGGAAAGTAACTGACTGTTCACGGAAAACTGTTAATCATCAATCATAGTTTGCTTCATTAATTTGAAGAGTACTTCCTGACTAATGATAGGAGATTGTTCCGTCGCCTTTTATTGCTTTTATTTACAGTGGCTTAGAAAAACAAGATTGTTGTATGTTAGTTTTGTTGGAGAAATTTAAATGCTATTTACATAAATAAGATAGATTTATATAAACAATAAATAATCACTCTTTCTTGAAAGGGTTACAGTAGTATGTTGAAAATAAATGTTTCATAAGACTTTTATAAATCATAAGATTGTTAGGCAATTAACTTTTTGAAATTTTAAATAAAACTAAAACTTATATATTTAGCAATATACAAATATTTCATGTAAAGGTAGTTAGACTTATATCCCACATTCATCCAGCAATATGATATTCGACCATGTTCAATCACTTTTCTCAAACAATTTTTTCAATGGATTTAAAAGCTACTCTCTAGTGTTGTCAACACAATGACATAGCAAGTTTTAAAGGGGATTTCGATGTTCTAACTATGTTTTACATAAAAAGAACAACTATTTATTTTGAATATGACAAGATTATTGTTGATTTTTTTAATAGGATCATGATTTACAAGACACATACTCCATTTTGAAATACATGCATATACGATGCTATGATTTAGATTCATCTAATATCTAAACGTTTGAGCCAGTCTAACTTCTTTTTAACGTATAATAACAAAAATTTGATCAATTTTTTTCCACTCTTCAGCATCATAAACCATTTTATTTATTTTCATGAATGGACGATAAAACATGACGTTAATCGATTTTATGTCATAAACATTGATGATTATTAGACGTGTAATGAGAGAAATGTAGATTTTAACAATATGAACAAATAAAGCATTGGTTATAATATACATTGATAAATCTACATTACGAGAGATTTGAGATTTTTTAGTCTGCTAATATTTTGTCCTATAAATTAAATATTATAGTATTTTACTGTGACGAAAATATTGTAAATCGATGTCGAAAAACTATGAAGATAGAATGGGTGAAAATAATAAACAAACGGAGTCCCATACTAGGACGAAACAGCCGTCCAGTGCTTCCAGGTTTCTAATGGTGGTCTAACAATCATTGATTGATGATTTCAAATGTGTAAGTAATTAGTACTTTGATATTGTTCTCCTATATCGTAGGCCAGATCAAAATGAAAATATCAAATATTTCTATCATACATGTTTGTAATAGTAAAAGAATTATGCAAAGAAAAGCCAGGATATTTTTAGCTGCTACTAACAAAGCTTTTCTAATAAATGATGATTAGTATCACGTTGATTGATCTTTCATGCTGATCTTAATCCCTCTACAATATTTAAAAGTAAATCTATACCTCTACTGAATGTTTAAGTGTTAAATAGTTGTAAGTAACTTTCAGTAATCTCCAAACGTTTATGATAAAATTTTAATGAATAAGATTAACAAATCCTTAATTTCGGATGGGCTAGGTGGTTGAAATAGACATCAATGTGTACCTCAGTTGATCTAGCAGAAATTTGTACAACAATAATTATTGACTTATAATATTTATGATGTAATTGATTTTCCTCAAATTATTTCCGAAATATCATTAAGCAACTATTTCGAACTGAATATAATTGCTTGATAATAGTCTTCAATGAGCAGTAGGGTTTCCAGCCAATTAATTTTTTTTAAAGGGTGATGTTCCTTGCATAAATACTGTTCTCAAACAGTTTTAATATTTATCAGAGACTAAACAGAAGATTCACAGGTAGCAATAAGTCATTGCTGATGAATTTCAGGTTGGCGTTTTTGGCCATTCTGCATCGTTTTTACGAAATCGATTAATGGATGAAGATGCCCGATGGGCTTATGGTATATTGCATGTACAACAGATTGAAAAATCTCATAATTCGGCATAAAGAATGAGAATTCGATTGAACTATCCAACAACAACACTGATATTATTTGTCCAAACGCTAATAGCGATAGAGTAAACTGGACTTTGAGAATAACCTTGTATTTTGTACAGAAGTCAAAAACAATTAAAAATTAAACAACTCAGCTTTAAATAAAATTTAACGAGGTACACAATAAAGTTAGTGAGTTCAAAGCTACAACCAAGAATCAGGTAACAGCATTTATAATAACGGAATTATGAATTAGGAACAAGGTCATCAATGTAATCCTCCAGAGCAAGGACTAACGCACAACAACAAAAGACTGTGCGACATGATCTTTCCTTATCACACTCTTTAGTTGATATCACCTGACGATGAAAGTTTCTTTGTGATAAAAAATGACACTTTTAAACGAAAATATCACGAACACTCATCTGAATACGTATTAAAAGTTTATGTTCTTTGAAAAAATTAGATAACAAATAGAATTTTAAGATAAAGTAAACATAGTTTACTGATGAATAACAAAGTATTATTGTTAATATTGTTCGATAAAATGTAGCTGACACCCCTACTAGCTTACTGAATGATGATTACTATAGAAATAAATATTCAGCTTTCAATTTCTGTGTAGCTAAGAATATACCACATTAAAATTACGATGTTAGTAATAGTTAATAATAGAATAGTCCAACTCAGTTATTATAAATTCTCTACAAATTAGTTTAGTTACCACTATTCATGTACAAAAAAATGAGCTCATATCAAAACGAAATTTATAACTAGAATAAAGGCATACATTTTTTGTCTACTTTGTTCTAGAAACAAATAGGATAAAAAGCGACTAAAGAACAACTAATTGTAATGCATGACTTCGGCAACTGAGTTTTAAATAATAACACTCATGGAATATTTAGTTTGAACTTAAATTGTTACTTTATACTTTTTTTCTCATGTATTGTAATGACTTTTGACAATAAATGTCCGAATTCAGATTATTTCTTATGTTCAGAGATAAAATTTAGGCATCAAAATTTATAAAGATACACTAAAATATAATTCATAAAAATAGTGAACATTTCTTGTTTCGCAATTAAATAAACATTTTCCCTCTTTTATGTGAAATAAAACACTGTATTTTGTTAATCTATTTATTGTTATTACTACATTTAGTCTCAACATACTTCCGGTTTTATATTATTAGTTTGAAAAAATAGGTAACTTTTGATTAACTCATTATTGTCAACAATCTGATGTTGTATATCACTAAAAACTTAGCTATGTTTAACATGCTAGTTTTGATCACTAGTAATCAGCAATTCTACATTGATTACTGAGATCGCTAATCAGTCGAAGCTTGATTTCCATATGAAATCAGAAAGCACTGGACACTTATGTCGTCTTAGCGCTGGACTCGCATACACCACTCCATAAAAACTTAATAATTGTAAGGCTGAGCAGATATCTAATGGTTTATGTATCTCATGTTAATCAATCTGTAGCCATGTACAACCATCTTTCATTCTATATTTACTAATAATCCGTGTTATCTTTCTTGACCTTAAGTACTACAAGCAGTTTATTATATAATCTTATAACATATCCTAAAGTTACAAATAAATACTACAAAACATATTACCATTTAAATATTTTATTCCATTAACCCAAATTATTCAAACTGTGAATTAAATTTTCACTTTAGAGATCAGGCGTTTTGCGAAAACAGTTTCTGAAACATTGTTAGAAAATGTTACCAAATAAACAATTGTTCATTGTCTTAGAGTATTTTTCACATGTTTATTTTTTACTTTCTTAAACACTCTTACAAAACAATATTTTAGATAAGAGACAAAACAATTCCTAATCGTTGTATATGCATACAAATTTGAATAATTTTATCTGACGTAGAATGTTAAATTTATTAAAATTCGGTCGAGAAACATCTGAAATCAGATAACATTACATTTTATGAATGTTATTCGAGAAGTGTAAAACACGAAATTTCCAGTTTGTTTTAAAATGGATATACAGTAAGCATAACTAATATTAAGCTTCTTATGAATAGGTAAGTATTGAAATTTTCCATTGACTACTAACCGATTTTCAATTAGCTAAACTGTTCATTTCATATCAATCATTTGAAGGGAAAAATAAATGTACATATATTAATGCCAGCATACAGTAATAAACGAAGGAAATTCGGCGTTCACAATAAGGAGGTGCACAATCTAAGCACTTTCGGTATTTTTATTTTGTTTTTATTTCAGTGAGTTCACTGATAATTTTTACGTAGTTAAGTTGTTAAATATTTTTAGTATGATCAAAATGTATTCCTTTTTTCAAATCAAATATACAATGTCACAGTAGTGTTTTTAGTAGTTTATACAGTTTGCATATTTTTATTACTTTTATCATAGTGTATAGAATGAAAATAACAAGATACTAAAACAGCAACATACCTATGTATTCTGGAAAACAGATTGTCAGTGGTGAATAATAAATTTTCTGTTCAAACAAATCACGTTTATTCAAAAATAACAGCATACTGGTTTCAACAAACCAACTATTATTACATATGGAATCAAATAAATTCATGGATTCAATCATTCGATTCTGAAATAATAACCATCAGTAAACAGATATACATTTTTTTAATTAAATTAAAAAAAAAACATTACAAAATAGAAAAAACATTACACACGTTATTTCCGGCATAGACTAACCGTTGATAACATGAGTTATTGCATAGATTTCAATAAAAATACTCAGGTATCAATCAAGAATAACAAGTAATAAACACTAACATGGTTGAAATACTGACGAACAAAGTACAAAAAAATATCTCTCAATATTGCATAAATTTTTAAAATGATAATTTTATTACTTCATGAAATATTGTACTTTAATTAACCGATGAATTTGATTAAAGTGATAAATTTAATATTCTAAAACTTATTTAGAACTGTAAGCTTACAGCTAATAGTTAAGTAATTTGAATTTGCCTAATTCATTGTTACTGAAATTAACACTGAAGACTGAAACATGTTGAAAAATGATTCGAAAATGATCTTTTAAAAGACTATCGCAGAAGCGGTTGATTGAAAACATAATCATTTTGTTTATTTTCATTTCTAAACATAAATTGGTAGTTAAGTAACATACCAACCGGCTTATCTAACTTTAGAATGTGTACAGTTGTGCTGATCATATGTTTAATCAAATAAAACACTGATTTTTTTAAGTCATGACCAGGAGTTAGTGTATAAATTTATCATATTATCACTGGATAAGTGTTAAAGGAACTGGACATTAATATATTTAGTATACTATAATATCAGTACCATTGTTTATAAATCCATAACTTGATTAAGTCATAACATTTTGAATACTATTAAGTTTCAATCTTCAGTACGTATTTAGAGGTAATCAAAAGTCTGATAAGTATTTTTAATGGCTGTATTTAACCAAGGATGGATGCTTTATATGTCAGTTCTTAATATCCAACGTTTTATAAACGGTACATGCTGATGGGAGAATTATTTTTCCCTGTTTTTCAACATGATGAATAAATTTTAACAGTCGGTCATGCTATTATTTATACAAACTTTGAAGCGATATTGTTATGTTAATTTTCTGAATAGTTGTTAAATAAAAATATGACACATCAGACAATAGTATTCATAAAAAAATGACTCAATCACTTGAAAATGGATGGTGAATACTTTAATGTGGTCAAAATATCACATGTTCATTTCTGCAATTTATAAAAGCTTGATACGATTCACCAGGACGATATTTGTTATGATTTCCCTTTTCACTACTATGGCGTATACATAAATTTGTTCGGGATGAAATATCCAACAATTAATTCCGGTCTTAAGAATAATAATTTCATCACAGCTTCATTATTATTAGACTAAGCTTATCTATTCTTCGGAATACACTAAAAAAACATTGACTTTTGACCAAATTATAGTGAAAGAAACTGCTCGTTTACGTTTATCTGCATATATAGTTGAAAAGTGATTGGACTTGTATGTTAAAGAGTGCAGTAGTTGGGCATGTTGACCGCTTCACGAATCTTCGAAGTCTCACCAGTGCTGATAGCTTGGTCTGGTGTGTGACTAAAGCTCAACACGGATAAAGAAGGCCCGATTGTCTTTTGCTAACTTGCCTCACTTATGACGTAGGCGAGATATCCATTTGCTAACCAAAGTGCAGGAGTTCGCTCCGTTCTACTATATCGATGCGAAACATGGCCGGTAGGAGTAGAGGACATTCGTAGGTTACTAGTATTCGATTACAGATGACTTTGAAGCATTGCTGGTGTATTCTTGGACTATCGAATGGACTGAGTCGTGCTGGTAGTTGTAGTCTGCTTGTTTGGGGTGAGCAAGACGATACTCACCTATGGTTAGAGAGTTTGAATGATATGGATCAAAAACGTTTGCAGTGGCACAGGTGAATCCACCCACTGTTTTCTCTCATATTCCCATCTTCTGAATTCGTCATCACACCTATCTTTCTCTCTCTAAATTTATCTCACTGAATGATATTTCTTGAATGATTTCTTTGAATCTTAACCTTCTACATTACCGTTTATACTTCTGCTATCTCTATTGCTATGAGATTTGAACTGACAAATGCGTCCCTGTGCCAATGTGGTGTGGCAATATGAACTAATGTACTTACGTACGAAGTTCTACGTTGCATCTGACTAACTGAGTACATAGTTAACGTTATTTTTGCATGAAGAAAAAAGTAATCTCTAACTATGTTCATCGTTTGTTTTCTAAGAGATATTTTTTCTCTAATAAACTTATCATAATAATATTTACCGTAAGCAGCATTTAGTACTGTCATTGATTTGGGTTAGTTTTCAGTCAATTGATCATAGTTTTAAACTGTAGTCTATCTGTCCTGGGACGTCCGTTCAAGCAATGCTGTCGTTAGGAAACGAGTACTAAGTAGAGATGGCAGAGCAATACATGAAGTATTGAAACTTCATCATTTGAGATGGTTGGGACATGTGTTATGTATTCCAAACCAGCGACTGCATCGCTGAGCAGTTTTGCGATGTAGGAATAAACTGACAGTTCCGTCCCTGTGCTAATGCGGTATGATAACTTGGCCTACGGTACGTAGGAGGTTCTACTTTGTAACTCACTGACTGACTACAGTTATCTGATCTATTATGATCAGTTAATTGGTTATGCAGTTTCAAATAATATTTTAATGTTTTCCCTAGATATTACTTATACTTTATCCCCACTGTTCATACTTAATGGATTATGTACCATATATATGACAGTTTTAATAAACACCTATACAAAAAGAACAATTATATACGTAACTAATAAACTAACACTTATTTCTTACTACAATCGATATAAGGTCATAATCAATAATTATTCGTCTTGTTGTCATACCATCAAAACTAATAGATGAAAATAAATTTGTGTCGTTTATTATCTGAAATAGTTATTTCCATTGTTGGTGTTGTTAATATCATCTCATTGATTTTAATATATAATGCTTTTTGATACTCTAATAATGGTGGTAGAGTAATTAAAAGGATACTTGCAATTTTATTAAATTTTACAAGTGTTTTTTATTCATTTCCAAAGTTAAAATAGCTTATAATTACAGATTTATGGACAAAAGTGAAGCTTTCATAATTTAAATCACTAACCGATCTTAGCTAGACCACCACTGAAAACCTGGAGTTAGTGGGCGTCCACTTTTTCCTAGTTTGAGACTCCTTAGCAGTGTGCGTCTACGAGTCCGAATGCCTAATTTCTGGACCTCTGAACTGGTACCCAGTGCTGTCAGATTTTCAGCTACGATGAGTTTGTGATTTAAACTGTAGAAATAATACTTTTTTCACAAATTTTCCTCACATGATGAGTAGTTTGACTGCTAATGGATATTGGAAATTATGTCTCCGTATAAATTTAAAATATTTAAATTTTTCATCAAGTCAAATTAAATATGAAGTTCAGGAAGGTAAATAAGTATTAAAATTATTCAGAGGCTTGTCTTCAGCTACTTACAGATTGAAAACGTTTTCCTTTTATAGATAATATATAATACTTATCAAAGCGAAAATCAGTGTAACTAATAATGTAATTAACAATCATATAGTTGTTAATTATTAATTTTGAGTTCATACATTAAATATTAATGTTTTCTGCCTTAATTGCTAAAGCAGAAAATAAGCGTCGGTTAAGAAAAAACGTGAAAACATTGATAAAATTAGAGGAATAAACGAAATAAGTCGACCAAAAACATGAAATTGTAATGAGTGACATTATGAAGTCAAAATTCGTTGTTCATGATCTTCTCAATATAAAAATCGGTAGCTTTTGAATCACTTGACGGGTTATAGTTGTTTGACAGTCAGTGACTCAGGATACGTAGATAACTTTAGAATTCTCAGTAGAAGATTTGTTAAACATTTGATGAACTAGCATTGTGTTCTCTGTCTTCTAACTGTCATGCAGCTGAACAAAACAGCTAGTAAGTTCCTTTTAAATTCAGATTCCCTGGTTTGCTTCTGTCAAACTCCTTATATATTCACTGCCAAGTACATTGACTAATGCACGTGAAACGGTCGATACAAATAAATTTAACGAAGACTAGGGATTTATTATTTTCTGCCGGATTACAGCAAATATGGTAACGTAGATGGAAGAAAGCTCGAGAGAGAGCCTCTGTATTCCAATTATTATATGTTTGTCGAGGAAATATGAATCGATTAATGTGATTGACGTTTTCCAACTCATGAATATAAACGACTAAATATATTCTTGATTCGGTGTTTAAAAAGCGCTTCGGAAACAATTATTCCTATTTTTAATGATGGATATTATCCCGTTGTTGATGTGCAGGATCCATTTATGTTGAAACAGGTAGATTGCTCTTTCGCAACAGGTTTTCATTGGCAGTGTTGAAATCTTTATAGTCCTACGACTTTGTCCACATTCTGAATTTTTATTAACTTGATCAAAATGTTTGTGACGTACAAATTGAAATTCGCTCATCAGTGAATGGAAATTCGTTCATTATTTAATGACCATTTAGACATTTTTGTTAACCGATAATAGTTAGGAACTTACAGTTGTTTGATCTTCAGCCAGACCAAGATCGTATTCACTTAATGCAACAACAAATATGATTGCAGTTACATCTTGGAAACAATGAATCCACTTTTTTCTTTCTGACCTCTGTCCACCGACATCCACTAACCTACATTTATCAAATAATGAAAAACAGTCATGAATGGTTTGCTAAGTTTCACTATGGAAGAATAAAGAGGGATCTGAGGATATCATTATCAAACTAATTGATCGCCGGTGAATCTTGTTAGGGCTTAAGGTGTCAGGTATGACATGTTGACATAAATATTTATCCCAAAAATATATGCTTTACAGGCATAGATTTCATCATAACGATAATAACAAGGTAAAATGTTACTTTTGTATGTAACCCAAATTATCAAAATAGACTAACTATTATCTCCCATAATACTGATCATTTACGGTTTTAATCGGTTTTTGCTAAAGGTCAATTTCTCAAATCTAAGAACATTTGTTGAGTAACTAAAGTTACCCATTGTGTTTTTACTTTTACACATTTATTAAAGTTTTGACAGAATTTAAGGATAAATTTTTAGGCATAATCCCTTGGAAGAATTCTTTTCGAGTAATCTTGCTTCAAATATCAATAATGTGATTATATTTCCTTTACTCAACTGATTATAAGCTTGTTGTTTACTTACAATGCACAGAGGAATCATTATTTAATTCAAAATGAATTGAAAGTGATACGAGAGAGCCAATTGATTTATCATACTTTTTTCTACGCCTTCAATGTTAATGTTTCCATTTACTACACCTACTCTACTTTATCTTCTTTAAAAATATGATGAAAGTTAACTGTTGATACAAATCATTCTCAATATGTCACATAAATAATTTTTTCAAGGAAATTTGTTATATGATCACTCTTTTTGAAAATTAATAGTAATGAATTTTTACAGGAACTTGAAACTGTTAATTATCCTAATGTTGACAATTATGATCATAAAGAACGTTAATTAGGATTTCTCAATGAAAAACTTTACCGGAATTCAATGTTTTTGTACGAAAACTGAGTTTCCTGTATACCCGTAGTCTTCACGCGTGTTCTCAATACATCTTGATCAGTCGGAATGTAGTCATGTCGAGCCAGTCTATCCAGAGAATTAAAAAAGCTGTGAAAAGATATAAACAATAGAACTTCAGTTGTTTGAGCCATTTTTTCTACAAAAACTGACTCACATGTCGCATAATTGTTTCGGCCTTTGGTTGTAAAATATTCCAACCAAAGATAAAATCTAAAAATCGTTGTCCCATTTTCGATAAATGAAAACGCCTTTAATGATAGGCTGAAGTGAGTAAGTAGTTCTTTTGTTCAGTACAGATGAAATATAACACTTCCTGTTTTTTTCACACTCTCACTAAAATTGGATTAATTTATTCACACCGTTAATCCTTATTTATTTCTCTGTTAATGCAGACACCAAACAAGCAGATAAGTATCGTAAAAATTTGATAAATATTGTCCATAAACCAATTATTGTTTTAGTTAAACATTTTTAGTATTTCTAATGATGTGCGTCCCGATTTTTCTTCGATTATTAGTCACTCAACTGAAATGAAATTCATTGAAAAAGCCTTACTTTATGGCTAAATATGTTAGCTTAATAACCTTGAAAATGCGAAAACATATAATCGAGTTCATCTTTTCTGCCAAAGAGGGCTAAATTTATGCGCATGATGGCCGGCACAATATGAAATATTATATGAAAAAATTTGTTATGACATTTCTTGCCTTCTTTTGCAAGAAATCTTTACTTTTTAAAAACTCATAAAACTTACTAAGAGGCTGAATCATTAAGTTGATATTCTCTTGAACGTCTAAAACACTGTTGAACGCCATCATCATTCCAGAGCTGATAAAGAGCATGGTATAATTCGGTGGATAAATAGCCGTCTGCAGCCTCATTAGCACATGAAAATAAAGTTCGGGCGTCGTTCTATATAAAATTTGTGGTAAATTATATATTCTTATAGATGTTTGTGTGTTACTTAATTTATTGAACCAGAAGAACTTTTACTGAAAACTTGAAATTAACTTAAAAATGACGATTTTACCGAAATAACTGACTACTTACCAAAACATGTAATTTGCGCTCACAGGGTGGATCAAATCTACTAGTCACGTGTTTAGACAGCCATTTAAGATACTGTGCTGCAGACCGACAAATAATTTCTGTGTTTTGTAAGCTATTTATTTCTTGTGTAATAAGTTCATGTTACCCTCGATTATTATCACAGAAAAGCGCTATTCGTCGCAAGTTTATCAAGATAGTAAGTTTCCCGGAGGAATTGTTTGGATTTTGGTTTGTTATATAGATTTTCCCATAGTTGAAAACTTTAAAAACTGCTACTAAAAACATATTATGTAAAATAGCGCATTTGTTCTACTTCTGCACAGAAGAACACAAGCATCCTGTTTTTATAAATAACAATCATTTACGAGTCAAACAGTAAATGATAATATTGTTTATCAGATTCAAGTTATTCTGAGTAGAAATATGACCAAAATTTGTCATATCTTGTGTTCTCCTGCGCGATTAGTTGGTAGGCTATGTATAGTCTTTAAAATTCTTTGTCCTTGTTGTTCCCTGATTCAATTGGCATTTCAATTTAAAGGCACCTAAAGCAGTGAGAAAGACTAATGAATTTTATTATTCCCTTTCAATTAGATTTTGCTGCTCTCAAGAAATTTTCAGAAAAGGAGGGTGCGTTTTTCGAATACATTTATTTATGCTGCGAAAATTAAATCAGCAACAAACTCAATAACCAGCCTAAATTGAGTAGACTTGCAGGCAAAATCAGGACCGAAAAAACTTTGCCGATTTTTCGTGCTGGCTATCTGATAAGTTTTTCCATAAATTACACTTATTTCATAGTAAATTGTAGTGAGACTAAACAGACATGATAGAGTTATTTATCTGGAGATACTATCATTATTAGTCAGTAATATTCGGTTCAGCTACAGAATAAAAGCAAAACAACTTACTATTCTGCTCTCATCCTCGAATTTAATGTACAAGTGGCCCATAGCTCGTATAATCGCTATCATACTCTGTACGGTGTTACTATAAACAACAGGTTTATAGAGTAAACATTCTTCTCTCGTGTAGCTAGACTGATGAATAATCCTAGATTGTGTCGTGTGTAAAATAGATCGATCCTACTTCAGCTGTTTTAGTATTGTGCTTTTTCCAGACTCGCCAGCACCTTGCATCAAGTAAATGAAACGAAAATTTACAAATTACCTAACAACAGCAGTTTGGCTACTTTTGACATTTTTTCTCCATCGCTTTTAAGTGAAGCGTCTATCTGTTTAGATCTTTGAATAGCTTCCTTTTCATCAATACTCAGTAAACATCCCATCACAGAATCTAGTTACAGCGTTTACTTCATGCGCTACGTTTCTAATACCCAATGTCTTTTAGTCCCAGGATCGTCCAATATTCAATATAGTTTTCATAAGCTAGTGTAAACTAGTTGATTTCTTTGCACCCTATTCTTTTCCTTTCTAAACGGTCCCAGGCGTTTGTTTATGTCCAATGAATCGAGTTCTAGTCACTCGACTGTCGAATTCTAGTGAGCAGGCAGTGTTTTGTGAGTTTGTTTCCACTCCCTCGCTTACATTTCGGTCCTCTCTCAAAATCTTCACTACCAGTTAATAAACTAGTGACTTCTTGTTGTTGTTGAATGCTTGATTTCGAATTCTAAATACAGTACATTCGTTCGTGCTTATCCCGTAGTTCTTGATTCACATACTTCCAATCATCAGATAAACTAAGTTATGTATATATTATTTAGTTGTGAAATCTTACTCTTATTAGCATTAAAAATGTCTCCTCATGACTCTCCACATTACAACTGATCTTGGGCCTGGGATCAATAAACCCCACTGCTCTGAAACAAACGTATTTATTCAAATCACGGGACATAAAAAGAAAATAGGCGAGATGGACTAGGTTAGTGAGCTGAGGAGATGGCATTAATAAGGACTAGCAAGTTCCATGGCATGCATCAGATACAGCTTGTCGACGACGGAGATGATAATCCTTATATGACTACATGTACATCAAGCCTCTTCTTAAAGCTGTCCACTGATGGGACTGTGGTCACCTCATCTGGGACAGCATTCCAGGTTGCGACCAATTATAAAAAGAAAATTGTGGACGAATCCGAGTATTAGCTCTTCAATACTCAGTGTTTCGAGAATTTCCTCGACGGGAGTGGTAGTGATGCATCGGTAAGATTCTCACATTGAGATGGTTAGGCGTGGTTCATATGTTATACGCCATAATCAGCTCACCTATGATTATCAAATGCTGGAGTGTATCCTCGTAAGTTGTTTTATTCAACCCCATCACCCATTTCGCTGCTCGTATCTGCATTCGATACAGGAGATTTATATATCTTTCAAGGAGAGTGAATGTGACGACGTTTTGAACTTCAAGGTGTGGGATACATATGTCTCAAACAACGTCAAGAATAATTGTGGGGTGATAGCACCAAGCTTTCTTCGCATAAATTAAAGAGTTGCGTTAGCCATGGCTGCGTTCCCTATATAGTTCGAGCTTATTAGGCCGAGACTGCGCTCTTAGGAGATATTAGTACGCTGACTTCTGTTGAAAGTGTAAATCGTTTGAGTAACGTGGGTCAAAAAGTACATGATATGACGTTTGGCTGGTTTAATTTTAAACCGTTTTTCTCTGCCTGTTCGTCAATGGATATAGGGTCCTTCAGCAGTTCAGTCGAATTCTCCTCGCTTCTAATGGACTTCCAGATCTTTACGTCGACTGCGTAGACCAGTGACGGCGAATTAACTTTTTCTGATAGGTCGTTGATGAATGTCAGGAAGAGAAAAGAATTGGTCTGGTGCCCTGATTATAACTGTTTCGGTACAACATTTGTTGAGAAATTAGTGCAATCAATATTGTGTCGGAATTTTCAGAACTTTTGATTGAACATATATTACATAGGGCCTTCACGCTTCGCGAATTTTCTAATAGTCGTTTTGACAGGACTCTGTAAGTGCCCTTTTGATATCACTAATGTCGTTGGACGACAAATGCCGTTAGGTCTAGGGAGTTATTGAACCAGTCAGGGAATTGGTAGTATCGTATCCATCTGGAAAACTATATTCTTTTAATAAATTTATCATACTTCAGCAGAGTTATGATGAGGTCCTACCACATAGCAGGAACAAGAAATCATCTTCCAGTTATCACAGTTAAAAAGGATACGTTCATAGGCATCTGCTGAGAGGTATCCGACTGAGGCTGTCCATATGAACAATCTAATTATAACTTCTTAAAACTTGATCTCACGGTTAACTGGAGAACCAAATTTAATGGCCAGAATTAGATCGCAGATTATTCCAGGTGTTGAGAGTGAAAGCGTAGGCTGCAGCTTTCATGGAAAGGCAAGACAGATATGAAGTTGCAACAAACCGTAATAATGTAGTCTATTGATTATCCATTTGAGATATTTCAATTCGTGAATGAAGAGGACCATATGTTTGGTCTTGGAAACGGTTTGACTGGGAACTTTCGTCCAAGTCAAACTTAGCGATAGGGATCTAGTGCAGATAGCACCCTTCCCCCGCCGCGAAGTGATGCACGTTACTCACAAGGTAGTACATGGTACTTTCGTACTACATCTTCCTACATCGCGGCCGCCATCTTGCTTTCGCTGCCCTATAACTTCTCCCATTTCTCTGACACGTCTCAGTTTTCTTTCGATGCGACGAGATCACTAGCAAATACACTTATTTCACCCGAATATCTCTTTTTTCTGTCTTTTAATACGAGACATAGGATAACTCTTGAGACCGAGGTGTAATTGGTTTGTAGAAATACCCACAAATTATCCACTCAAACATCTACAGTAGCATGCTGCGGGGCTTCTCGACATCGAAATGCATGACACGGTTAGTGTGTCATAATTATTATAATAATAATATATCCTCAAATAACCTGTAATGCGAGGCATACAAATTAACAAACATTGCAAACATTTTCGTGTAAAAGGTTGTACAGTTAGATAAATATTCCACAAAATATACTTTCCTTCAAAAAGCATTAATTTCAGTCACATAGAATAGTAGCTGTTTCAGAGTCAGTAATGTCGTTTATTTTGCGACGAACAAATTCTGGTTGAGAATAAATCCAGGTTAAACCCAGGACTTGGTGAGGTATATGTTTTGACCTTAATAATTTGACAGGATTTAGGGTAAAATGACTATAGGTGTCCGGGAACATAAAAGCTAGTGTCTAAGGTATCAGATGTCGTTGACTGGTTCTCTGGCTATATCGTAAGAAGCAGTATGCAAGCAACATCTTCTCCCCCTCAGTTGAAGTTATTGCTTCACCGTCATGACTGCTGCTAAGATATACAGCTCTCCCAGAAGAAATGTGAGAAGAGAAAGTTCGGAATCTGCCCGTACAGCCAGTTGATTTATGAAGATTTGCTGTACATATTTTATAAGTATACTAACCTATCCAAATACATATATTTCACCTAGTGTTGACTTCCTTTTACGTTACTGTGGTATCATACTACTGTTGCGAATCTGATGACCATATAGTATAAACTTGCCTTTACGAAAAAAATGTATGAGTGGGCATAGTTTGGAGGAAAAGAGAGTAACGACTCCTTCATGCACCAGTCAGCGTCTTCTTCGACAATATCATTATTCATGGAGCTAATACTTAGTCCACTGAAAATATGCTGAAAATCAACACCGTAACAACATCTACGCACATACGCTCTCTCAAAAGTTGTGTCTCACACTAGTACCTCTTTAATCACAATAGGAGTCTCCAGAATTTATACTATAATTGGGTCAACTACCGTCAGCAGGGACGACAGAGATTGAAGGTTGCCACTGAAGAAATTCAGCAGTCCAAGTCTTGGAGAAAAATCAGTTTACGTACAGGCTCTATAGTCTACTCCTGAGAATCTCTACCGGATAACGTAGAAGCACAGGAACACCAGAATCCAACTGTTAAACAAAAGGTGCTCTAACAACAACGTATCCGAAAACCAGGAAAACTAATCAATGATCGTGTCGATCATGAACAAGCAAGAACTTCCTGAGCATTCACTCACTTTTTAATGCATAAATGGTGCGAAGTTCGATTTTCCCGATTTTAAGCCATAAGCTGTGTAATGATGCGAGTCGTGTTGAGATTTACTAAGATCACCACTTTAGACCAATTACTTGACCGTCCATACAAAAGAACATATTTGCTTGCGATCCGTCGACCTGAAAGGATACTGAAAATAGTGGCCAAATTACATATACTGTGGAGCTGAAATGGCAGCAAAACGAACAGAAAGTTTGTGCTTGTAGAGTAGTAATAAACAAAGAGGTTCAGTCAAACATTCACTGGCACAATTGGTTATAATGAATGTTTCCATTACACCAATTGCGCTTTCTTCATAAATTAGGTCACTAGAGAAGTCCGTTGCTAGAAGTAGTTTACACTTTTGATGCGTAGCGTTTTCGTTCGTAGGACTGATCAGCAAACGTGCGATGTCAAGACTGAAGGGTTGACCAACAGGAAGAGTGACGTGTAATATCCGTTTCTCGAGTTCGGCATACCGTACCGGAGTGGTTTGTATCCGGAATCTGAAAATTGCGTCAATAAGGGTTAGGACCAGAAAACGCTGCACACAAAGGACGGAATCACACTGAGCCGAGAAACCCGAAGCGACCGTAACAGCCAAATATGAGACCATACATTAGCCAGACATAGTCAGAAACAGAACATCGACTGAATCCATTGACATGAACGTGGGTGATGGGGCAAGGTTTAGCCAGGATTGACTGAAGTCGACGGTACCAACAGGGCGAGGCGTGAGCTCAGGACAAAAAATCAAAGAAAATGAAAAATGTGTAGCATGCATGTAGAATGTGGAAAGAGTCTTATATCTTATTCATTGTTGATTGAGAGGTTGGTCGCGAAAGCGTACATGCAGGTGTACTCAGCGTCCGGAACATGAGGCCGTAGTCTCCCACGTACCCCCTGGGACTGAAATCCCGTCGAAGTCAAGGGCGGCATAGCCTATCGGTATCATCCGTGAATGGTGCAGATGGCACGTGTTGTTGACTCGGACGTTAGAGTGAGGTCTCTGATGTATCTGGCCTGGGGTTCAATGTAGATGTAAGGATCCCGTTAGTAGGTTTGATGGGTCTAGCATTGGATCTCAAATTATCATGTGGGGCACTGCCATCAATGTCTACTGGCTTAAGACGATCAGTGCTGACTATATCCACACGGCCATGTTGACCAACCTTGAAGGTCTTTTCATGGTGGGAAGTCAAGTGAAAGTTCTTCGTAAGTCTGTTCCTAAGGTTTGCGTACCCAATCTACTCGTATGAAAACATGCGAACAGGTCAGTCGTTCAACGA